CCTCTGGTCTTCCTACCTTTCTAGATATAGATATATTTAAATAAACCACAGGACTTTCGTCACTTTAAATATGTACTTTTTGTTTATTATTTGAAGATACTTGCATTCCTGTTTTTTATGTTACTGAAAATTACCTTCCAAATTGATGTGCTCCCTAGAAGATAAAAAGGTCTCCCATATATTCCCGGGGTTTTGGATAATCCCATGGGGCCAATATGTACTTGGTTTGTAACTTAAATATTTTGTGCTAGTTTTGTTTGCATAGGAAATTTAATGTAGCATCACTAGTCCTTGAAGTTCAAAGACCTGGGTTTATATTGCCTGTCTTACTTCCATCTCAGTTCAATGAGCATTTAATCACATCAAATTTCAGCTCTGTCTCAGCCTCAGGTCTTTATACTCATTGTTCCTTAATGTTTATAAACCTAAAAATAAGAGTTTTGATGTCCATCCCTATCTCGATAACTCTTTTTAAAGCCTCTACAATGCTTTTATTTTAAATGTCTTTCTAAGTTACTATTAATTTTATCTTTTTTTTTTCTCTCTTCATTCTTATTTCCTTTTTCTCTATAAAGTTATATCCAAAATGTGAGGTGGAGAGTGGGTTGAGATTTAGTAACTGGTTTTTGTTATTTTTACTTGTGATTTAATTACATATTTGCTTCTGGTCAGCAATGACTGTAGTGAAATTTTAGAAAAAAAAGACCTGGCTCACTCCTAAATAGGAGATTGTAAATGCTGCTAGTTTTAATCTCTAGGAGGAAAATATTTAGGATAATTGAAGAGCATTTCAGACATAAAGAAATATACAGGACCAAATTTAATTAAGGAACTAGAGCTGTCAGATAGTAATTAAATGTTTTAAATCTATAGCTGTGTGAGAAAACATTGGTCACAATAGTAATTCTTTGCAGATTAAAATGGCTGCTTGGGTTAGACGGATTTAAATTTCCATATATCTGTGACTATATAAATTTTACCAAGAAAAGAAATTATGTGCTAATCTATATTCAGGTGATCTCTTGAAATGTTGTTGGCAGCCTTAACCAGAGGATGCAATCACAGAGAAAGACAGACAGGAATAATGCCAATGTTTAGGGAAGATATGCCTGTCAAAATATGGAACACCGAATTATAAAAAACTGATTCCATAATGAAGTTATTTGGCTTTTAAAGTGATTACAGTTTAGACATCCTCTCTACTAATTCACTGTGCATCACCACAGGACATTTTGACTTACTTAGACAGCAGCTGCACACCATGAATCAATGCAAGGAAGGTTGAATGAAACAACATGTGACTACGGTTTTATGCTTGACATGGTCTTCATACGAACACTTCAAATACAGAGACAACCCAGGGGAGATTCTATATTTTTCAGATTTCTTTTTTCTCCTAAATCAAGGAAAGAGTCTTTTGCAAGCATACTTGATCAGCATATAAAGTCCAGAACGTGGGAGCTGCATGAAATGTACTATATATAAAATGTTGTATACATATATATACATAGAATATATCTCAGCAGTGCCATTCTTCTTTAAGCACAAAATATAGTTCTGCAGGAAAAAAACAATTACACCTGTTTACATTCTCCATAAGAACAATATTGTCACAGTGTAGAGCAGGTAGCATCAACCCTTGAGATGGATCTGGGTACCAGACCATGTAGATTTCTTCTGTGTTTTTTTTTATGGGCTGGAAGAGACTGGTCTGTCCATGTTCTCACTGAGGGTTTGGCTAACTATGAACAAGGTATAAACTCCACATAACTGTAGAGCTACAGTCTAGCTTAAATGGTTCTATGAGATCCCAGCTCGATTTGCCACCATTATCAGTGTTTCTGAACTGTAAGCTGGTGTCAGTAGGGTCTAGAGAGAATAATTAGAAAGCACCGTGTGTTTGAACTGCACAGGACTGGAAACCATGGAGGATGGTTAGCTGGCCATTCCAGTTGCAGCTTCACAGTATTGCAGTTCAGCATTCAGGTCACAGTCAAAAGTTCTCCATGCTGTCTAGGTTGGATTTCCTTTTCCATAAATGCTGTGGTTTGGACTTTGTGGCAGGATAGACCCATCCTGATAAGGCCTAAAATCCAATCAAGCTATCATTCAAGCTACCATGCAAGATCAACTTCTGGAGCCAGGTCTTGGTATTAATTATGCTAAAACCATCCTGGTTCACTAGACTTCAAAGACATACTCCGATTTTTGAAGTCTGATTTGACAGATAAGGTGATAGTTGGCCTGTAAAGTGATAGTAGTCAATCACTTTATACTATAAAAGTCCAGTCCCCTCTCATACAGTCAGGTTCTTCTGACATAACCCTTCTTGGGTTGTGTGTGTGGAGATTCCTCCTTTGTCTGGGGACACCCTCCAAGGATACTCCTCGAGGCTGAGAGAAAGATGTCTCCCCATGAGTATTGGTATGGGTGAGTTACATCAAATCTCTACTTAATAATTATTTCTTTTTGCTAGCTTTAATATAACTGCTTCAATAATTGCTTTGTTACAGTGCTTCTTTATGCTATATTATACTCTACTAGTAGATTTTTAGCTACTGTGTAGTAAATAGTTCTGATTAAGATCTTTTGTCTGATCATTTGTATAAATAAATTATTAATTTTATATAAATATTCTCATTTTGCCAATCATTAAAAACCTGCGGGACAAAAGTTGTTCAATCACATCTCTAATAATTCCTTAGATTTAAGCTTTTTACATAATCCAAGGCTAAGATTGGATTCAGCTGCACCTAGACTCCTCTCTGAGCAGGGGTTTAGAAATCAAGGGAGTCCTTTCTGCACCTCATGCCTAGACAGCAGGACTTTTAAGCAAATTTTATCTAAACCTTCCACTCCCAGCTGTGACAGATTTGTGACTAAAAACCAGCACTGATAACACAGTGGTGCTTTGGCTATTGTTGAGCAGGGCTTACACAGCATCAAGGCCTTTTCCTCTTCTCACTCCACCCCACCAGCGAGCAGGCTGGAGGTACACAAGGAGTCTGGAGGGGACACAGGCAGGACAGCTGACCCCAACTGACCACAGGGACATCCCATATCATATGGCATCATGCTCAGCATATAGAGCTGGGAAAAGAAGAAGGAAAGAGAGGACATTTGGAGTTATGCCATTTGTACACCTGCCTGCTGATGGGAAGTGGTGAATTAATTCCTTGTGTTTGCATAAGCAGTTTTGCTTACCTATTGAACTGTCTTCATCTCAACCCATGAGTTTTTGGCTTTTGCCCTTCTCATTCTCTCCCCCATCCCACTGGTGGGAAGTGAGTGAGCAACTGGATAGGCACTTAGCTGCTGGCCAGGGTCAAACCACCACATTACAGGTAGCAGAGATCTTTCAGTTTTTACTTCTAAGTTTCTAGTTTTAATTTCTGACATGCAACATTTTCGCTTTTGGTACCTGACTACAGAATTATGACAAGACAGCTAGCATTTTTCTCAAAGTTTCAGAGTGTATCAGCCCAAAATATTAAAGTGAGAAACTCAACTTCCATATTTAGAAAAAGTTTTTAATCCTTAATATGTAAGAGTCAGAAACAAAATAAAATCTCACACTTTTAAAACCACATTAGTATTCTAGCATCCAAGAGTCACCACTTTGAGCACCAATATGCCTTTCTCCTCCAAGTGAACAACCCAGTTTGGTTTTTAGCCATCATTGATGGTACTTCGTAGTTCTGGAGATGATCTTGCATGCAAAAACAGACTGAGAAATTCCCTGTGTGCCACATGCACACTCTGCCCATTGGACTGGCACCATGCAGTGAGGTCTGCCAGTCTCCTGTCAGTGGCCACAGGTCTTCCTCTATCTCCAAGCGCTGAGAGAAGGCCACAGGCAAACCCACTCTCCCATTCGCGCTTGCTGGCATGGATACAGCTGGGCTCCTGCTACCCAAGGGGATGCACACACTGTTTGCCTCCTGGGGAAAGGAGTCTGAGGGGACACAGAAAGAGGGACAGACAGGGACACCAACACACACCCATGTCCCAGCTCCCTTGGTGGCGGCAGGACCTGCTGTCCCCATTTATACCAAGCCCCTCAAGATCTGAGTCTCTCAAGATTTGCACAGGGTGTTTGTGTCAAACTTTGAAATTGTTTTTTAGTTGTCATTCAGTAGCTGCAGCTGGACAGTTATAACTAAGCAATTGCATTGTGAATGCCATACACTTGGCTAATCTTTTGTTTAAAGAAAAATAGAAGACAATCCTAAGATGAATGGGCTGCCTGGACAAGAGCCAGCAGAACTGAGCAGTAACTAGGGGAAAGAGTCCAGAGAAGGGCGATGAATCTGGTGAAGGGTCTGAAACACAAGTCTTACGAGGAGTAGCTGAGGAAGTTGGTGTTGTTTAGCCTGAAGAAGAGGGGACCTTATCGCTCTGCAGCTACCTGAGAGGAGGTTGTATCCAGCTGAGGGTCAGGCCTCTTCTCCCAGGAATTAGCCATAGGACAAGAGGACATAGATTCTTAAGCTGTTACCAGGGGACGTTTACCTTGGACACTAGGAAGAATTCCTTCACAGAAAGGGTAATTAGACATTGGAATCGGCTGCCCAGGGAGGTGGTGGAGTCACCGTCCCTGAAGCTGCTCGAGGAAAGACTGGATGTGGCACTTAAGTGTCATGGTCTAGTTGATGTGGTGGTGTCCGGTCATGGGTTGGACTCGATGATGTCAGAGGTCTTTTCCAACCACGGATTCTGTGATTCTGGGAAAGGTAATTCCAGCAGTGAGAGGCCGCGACCACCGACTCACAGACCACCTACTTGAAACAGACGCCACATTTAAGTAGAGGGAAGAACTGCGCCTGCGGGCTAACTGGCATGAGAAGCCAGAGATATAACTAGCAAAGAGGGGTGCGAGTACTAACTGACAGAAAAGCCATGCAATTCGCAAACAACAAACGCTGATGTTTGTTTGCTGAAACGCACGAACAGCGCGAAATTTTGCTGCCCGAGGAGCCGGCCCTGGCGGGGGTGCTCGGGGCAGTGCCGTGCCCGCCGCGCTGCTCCTCCCGTTGCCATGGCGGCCGCGCTGGGCGCTGGCCCCGCCCCGCCCGCCGCTCGCCACCGCCTCCCAAAGATGGCGGACGGCGGGGCAGCGCCCGCGCAGCGGGACGGGGACGTGCCCGCGGCCGGGGCCGGGGCCGGGGCCAGGGTCGGGGCCGCCGGCGGCCGCAGGGATCGGCAGCCCCGGAGCAGCGGCCGCCCGCCTAGCGCCCGGGATTTGCAGGTGAGAGGGCGGCGGTGGGCGTCGCGCTGCCGGGGCGGGGCCGGGCGGGGCGGAGCGCCGCGTCCCCTCGGGGGCTCCCCAGGCCTTCCCCGGGGGTGCTTCAGGCCTTCCGTCGGGCCGCCCTGAGGGGAGTGGTCGGTGCGTGGGTTCCCAGCCGGGGCTGCCCCGGCGTGGGCTCTTTCCATCCTTCTGCCGCCCACGCCCCTTCTGAGGCTGGGATGGGAAGGATGCCCCTGGAAGAGCACTAGGCCCCTTGGGAAACGGTGGGTGGAACTGGGCGGGAGCTCTTCAGGTAACTGGAGGGGCTCTCTCGACACTGCAGTACCTGGGTTCTAACTGTGCTTGAAGTTATTTTGGCGCCATTGTATTTCCTAATTATTTGGTAGGAATGTCTCCTCCCGCACGACAGTGTCAGTCTCCGCAGATGTGGTGTAAGACTAACGACAAGACCTTTTCCCAGGCGTACATGGGAAGAGTGGAGTGTGATCACAAATGTAACTCAGCACTGGTATTTAAAGGCTTGATTACAAACCCTTTTAGCAGTATTACAAACCCTTTTAGCAGTATTCTTTTTTTGTGTGTGACTTTGACACTGCATGAAGGGTCAAAATATTTGAGCAACAAATCGATTGGAAAACAGGTGAAATGTTTAGTAACTGAAAGTGCCCGTTTAATTTAATTGTACATAATTAACAGAGAAAAATGGATATAGGTTTTTTTTTTTTACCTTGGTTACTATTGTAATCTTCATCTTGCTGACATTAATTTTGCTACAATCATGGAATGATTTGGGTTGGAAGGGGCCTAAAGATCTACTTCCAACCCCTCTGCCATGTGCAGAGAACCTTCCACTAGACCGATCTGCTCAGAGCCCCATCCAACATGGCCTTGAACACTGCCAGGGATGGGACATCCAGAAATTCTCTGGGAAACCCACAAATTCTCTGAGAAACCCATTCTGGTGCCTCACTTCCCTCTGAGTAAAGAATCTGTTCCTAACATCTAGTTTAAATTTCTCCTCTTTTAGTTTAAAACCATTCTGCCTTGTCCTATCACTATCTACCTGTGTAAAAAGTCACTCTCTGTCTTTTTTATAAGCCCCTTTAAGTGCTGAAAGGGCACACTGAGGTCTTAGTGGAGCCTTCTCTTCTTCAGTATTATTGTTGCATTAATCTCCAGTATTGCCTTATTACTGTTACAGTATATCATGGCTGGGCTTCGCAAACAAAGATTTGGGAAGGCACTATCCACATTTGCTACAGGCACACTGGTGGCTTATGAGGCCAATATGTTACAGTATATAACAGTAATAAAGTCTGTGTTGATACTTTTGGTTCATAAGGTGTTGGTCAACTGCAGCAGACCAGCATTTTGGGTTGATTCTTATGGATAAAGTGCTAAAGCCCAAGGAAAGTACCCTCCTGGGTCAGAGTAGCTGACCATCCATCCATCCACCCCTGTACTTGATTTGTCGTGGCGCTGTAAAAGATGCAGTGTGAGGAATGCACAGAAGCCTGACCATGCCCTTTTATGCTCCCTCAGCATCCCTGAGTTTTTGGATTAGGGATGGTACAGGGTAGATATTTGCCTATTCTGTTTAGTGTCTGCTCTTGGACATGTCTGTGACTTACTCCATCAGCTTTACATATCTAAAAGGTATTTGCTTGTTTTCTCAGATAGAATGGGGGTCTTTAGTGGTTTTCTTGAGTTGTCTTTTTACTCAGTTTCATTTTCTTAATGGGTATAATTCCACAGCTCATATTTTTCCCTGAAGAAAATGCCTCACAATAATATGGGGTTAATATTCTGTGTTCGTAGCAGTGTGTTTTGAAGGGCAGATGATGTTCAATTTTACTTTAATGTGTATTCCTTCAACATAAAACTGCAATGAAGTTGCAGCCTAGTACCTTTTCTGATGTGTATGATATCAGTTGCATAATGTGAACAAAATGGTGTGGGTGCAAAACTGAAGATGATTCGACAAACAAAGTATTCAGGACAAAAGTAAGATTGCTAAAAATGGCATGTTAGATGTCCCTTGCACAAGTTCCTAAAAATGAACTTACCAGTGATATGGCAGCTTTTAGTGAATCTTTATGGAAAAGCTGTTGGGGTATTTGCAGTGATGTCTTGAATTCAAGCCAGCAAGGCTGAATTCATTCTTCATTCCAGTACAAGCTTATTTGAGTTACATTTTTTCAATTTCTATGTAAAATGTTTGTAATATTTATTATTTGCTGCCCAGTCTTATCAGAGGATTATGTAGCTATTTTAACTTGTTAACATTAATGAGCTCATGCTTAATATCTACCTGTGTATATACTCTGTGATTCTGAATCTGATACAGGCTTAATGTAGCTAGTGAAGCAGTGTGAAGAAGGTGACAGCAGAGTACAAGTTGCAAATCAGAATGGCATTTAAGCATTGTGTGGGGGTTTTTTCATAAAGCAGAAAGGAAGCTGAATTTTAGTTGAGGTTTCTCACATTGATGTTTCTAATTTTCTGGAGAGATGCACATTTCACATTAATTTTTGTCTTATTTCTGTTCAACATATAGTTCTAGAGTTGCAGACTTCTAAAAAGAGTTCTGTTTCCTACAGCTGGCCTTGGCAGAGTTATACGAAGATGAAGCTAAAAGGCAGTCATTGTGTTCTGACAAACCAACAGCTACAAAGATCAGTAACACAAAAGTATCACAGAGGTGAGACATGCTTTGTGCTTCAGAAAAGTGGGGATAGGTGCTATATTAGTTCACAAAACTTCAGCATGCTTACTTGTTCCCCTCCTTATATAAAAAACAATCTAAAGCAGTTCATAATCCAGAATTTTGAATTCCTGCAATAATGCATTGTCTGTCTTCTCAGAATGCTTTCTAAATTGTATTTATTTAAGAGCCTTTGAGATATATGGTATTCCAGGAATTCCAAACCACTTTAAACCCAATTCAGATAAGACTAAGATGCTGTAAGTGAAATGCAGAGTTAGGCTTTGTTTACACAGACAGAATTTGGAAATTTGCTGTCGGAAAAATACTGCAGTTACTGGCTTCTTCAGAATTCAGCACATAGTTGTTTGTGTGAAACTTGCAAGTGAGCTGCTTTCAGTGTTGTGTTTTTGTCAGTACCCGATGAGACAAATAGTAATTTGGAAAATTATTAGTAGGTGCATTAGTAGGCAGCTATGGGGTGACAGAAATAAGAAAGACTTCTTAATTAATTTGTCTGGGTTGGGCAGGTGGAAGGAAAAACACATATCTATATACAAATCCAGGTTTTGCTAGCCTGCAGTGTTTGCAGTTCACATAGCATTTGAAGATTCTGTGTAGTCTTGAATTTTTTATAAAGAAATTTTGCCAGTTTTTAATTAATTTTAAGTCATGTGAAGAAGAGAAGTTTTTACATCATTACTGTCAGTGATGCCATAACAAATCTTGTATTTGTCTTGTCTTTTAATTGCTGCTGCCAGTATGGATCTCTGTGTTAAAGGAGTAAAAGAAAAGATCATAGTCACCAGAATCATCCTTCAAGTGCATCTATAAATTCAGATCTCTTCAGGAAGAGAAATTTTAGCAAAATGTGTGACACTTGGAAAATAATACCTGTTTTGGTGACTTTTTTTTTTTTTGTTTTGGTGAAACCACTTCAGTTGACTAATCAGCTACACAGAACAAAATTTGCAAACAAGTAAGCAAACAGCTTCATTTGCAGATACGTATCGTGAAGTTTAAACTTCCTACTCCCAACCAAAGGAAGTACCATTTCTCAAATACTTCAGTGTGATAGTTGGCACACATGTGATCTTTGTTGGCAATCACACTGGAATCTGTCTGAGAAGAAGAGATGGCAGCTATGCATGGTGTCCAAAACGAGATTTTTATTGTAGTAGACTTCAGTTTGCTCTCAGATGAGCAGTGTATTAATTGTAAGGAAACATAGGGCTGCTCTTGAAGTAACCTCCTCAGCTTGCCTTCCACAGTGTTGCCGTGGGATTTAGGTGCTGAAAATCTCCCGGAGCAGTTAATTAGGGGTGAGATAAGAAAGGGTTTATTTTGCCAGGGCTAAAGATGTTACAAGACACGCCCCCTGTGCCCGAGAGGTTACATTTTATAATACCCTCCATCCAATCCCAGATGTGTCCACCCTGTGGCCTTTACTCTGGACCGCCCCGGGTCCACCCCCTGAAAATGGGTCTGGGGTGCATTTTGGGACCCTCTCTTCATCCTGTCTTCCCAATCATCAGAGCATAAAGGGTTCATAGTCACCTAGTTTTTGACCATGTTCTGTGGTTTAGGCCCTGATATGCTGTTCTGCCAACAATCTAGGCCTTGCCTTGACAAAAGACTAAACATTTCTACTGGATTCGGGAGTAGGGGTGATATAGGGAGCATAGAATGGGGTAAGAGGGTTAAGGAATGTATAAACAAGGGTACTACGGGGAAAGGGATGCAAGGGAGTGAGGGTTGCTGCTTTTATAAAACTTACAAGGCTTACAAATATTAGAAAAATAAAAAAACATTAGGGGCTTAAGGCATCAACAGTTACAGGTGTAGAAGATGCCTCTGAGCCCTACTGTCATGTTGTGTGAGCTCCTTAGAGAAACTTACAACTGTGGGCACAGAAACACAAACCCCATAAAACCTGCAGTGCGACACAGGAAGAAAATAAATTATTGAAACTAAGGTTAAAAGTGTTTCTACTGCACATGATCTACGTCCATAATAATAAATTTTTTTTTCTGAGAAAATAATGAGAAGCAGATTCTTCACTGAGATGCAGAATTACATTGTTTCATCAAGACTGATACTTTAAAAAGAAATGGCTAGCTCTGCTACACTGTGATTTCAAAGCAGAAAAATTGCATAAATCTAAACTAGTGATCTGCCATTACTCATGTAGCAGGCTGTAGGTACGTTATCCCATGGTAGTTAGCTGCCTCATATACGTCTTATATTAATGATTTTTATCAGGTCCTACAGGATAAGAGCATATATCTGCACAGCTTTTTCCTGGCATTGTGCAAGCTAACAACCCTGGATTCTGAAACAGCTGTTGAGCTTGCATATACCGTGTGTTATCTGTGGGACCACCAGTGGCATAAAGCAGAATTCTGCATAACCTATGCTAGAATAGAGTAGTTCAGTTGGAATAGACCTGCAATGACCATCCAGTCCAACTGTTACTGCAGGATGACTCTGCCATACATGTGCCCTTTCCTGCTTATTCATTGAGAAGCATTCATGGCTATGTACCTTGGCAAAAAAAAAAAAAAAAAAAAAGGAAAAGATAAGACCAGAAAAACCAGAACAACTTGACATCCTTCGTTTTTGAAAAGGAATTAGTTTCAGAAGTTAGGTGTAAATTACTTAGTAAAGTGTATGTACCAGTCATCTTCAAGCATTTTCTTTTATTCTCTTGGCAGTCTTAAATTGGATTCTCTTAGAAGGCTGAGAAAACCAGAGAGAAGCATGAGTGATGACAAAGAAAACCAAAGGTATTTTTAAACCAAAAAAAAAAATAAAAAATTAACAATCGTGAAAGTGATTGGGGTTTTTGTCACATTCACACTTTGGTCCGTCCTGTGTTTTCAAAATGCATGTGAGCTAGGTCTGTCCTGCAAAGGGCTAGTAACTGCAGGGATGCCATGTGACTTGTTAGAGTAAGTGTTAGCAGTACACAGCCATAGTAAAACTATTAGCAGAATCTGACTGTAGTGATGCCTTAACATGTGACTGTGTGGTTGTAAAAATTGTAACTTACACTCAAAAAATTTTTTGCCTTTTCTCAAAAACCCTGAGTTGTTCTTTGTATCCCTTGTTCAAATATTTGAGTACTTCCTTTCTTGAATGAATGACAGTTATGAGAATTCTTGTTTCATCTCCTTACCACTATCATTCTTTTAAATCTAATAATTAAAGATTTTCCATATAAATGGGAGTTGAGATAATAAATATGGATTTATGTACAAAGGGAGATGTTACTAAGGGATTGACAGTTATGTGACATCATAAAAGCATTATGGTTGTAGAGTACCTTCATACCTAATACTGGTTTTTTGGTAACTGTAAAATGTGGTGGAGTCAACACATTTTGAAGTCCTTAGTCTGAGAGACAGTTTCACATGGATTGATTTACCTTGCCCCAAGTGGTTAAATGTAAATGTTGAGAAAAACAGGAAGCACTTATTAGTTATTAATGTTTCCTGTAATCAAAGACAAAACACTCAGGTTTGCCAGATTATGTATTTATATACAGATTTTTTTACAGCATCTGTTCTGTTGGTATTTAGAGATTATAATGCCCTACTCAAGGAATATCTTGATCTTCATAATCAAGCAGATACAGTTTTGAACTATCAAACTATCTTGAATTATTTGTAGTTTAACATTTCATCTTCAAAAGCTAGTAATGGGACTGTGGTGAAGAAAAGAACCCACAAATTAGCTTTCACAGCAGTTTCTGCAGGTTTTAAAATGCCTTGAAAGGTTAATTAAAGTTATTTAAAAATTTCCATTGCTGGTGTTGGCAGGAGTGGAAATATGCTAGATCTGTGAATTAAAAAATCAAATTGTGGCACTGGTCCGGTTTTCCAGAAAAAGTTTCATGTTTGTTCTGCCAAGGTGAGATTAGTTGTGACTCTGTATTCTATCCAGCCCAGGCACAGTCCCATGCACAGGAGTTTCCCTGAGGAGATGTGCCTTTCTGTGAGCAAGTGATATCCACATAAGATGCACGGCTGCATCAGGACTGTGTTCACTTATAACATATGGCCCTGCTCTCTAACCTCTGGGATCTGGTTGGTTATTAGTGAAATGTCTTTGGTGTCATGCTGCTTGGATTACTGGGAAGGTCAGAACCAAATGGAAAATTTCTGTGATCAGAATGAAAGGGTTTTGTGCCAAATTTGTCTCTTTGTTAATTTTTTTTTCTTTTGATGGAAAGATAAAAATTATGCTTGTCATTTAAAGCATTGTTGCTTATGTACATTACTACTCTAAAGATTTTATTCAGGTGACTCAGAATATAGAGGATTACAGATTTCTGGGGCTTCCAGTAATCCGAGTAAAATTGTTGCTGAACTCTTCAAGGAAGCAAAAGAACATGGGGCTGTCCCGTTAGATGAAGCCTCAAGAGCATCTGGTGATTTCGGTAAAGCTAAGGTAAAAGTTAAAAGCTGCTTTGATCTCTCTTTACATTAGTGTCTCTGAAACTCATCAAACCACATCAGAGCAAGTCCACCTTTTTGTTGTTTTCAAATAGCAGAGGGTTTGCTCAGCACAGTTGTGTGTTATTGTCTGTGCTCCAGTAGCTTGATCTAGAAAATAAACAGGGCAAGAACCAAACAATTTCAGAGGAAATCATTAGACATCACCATGAACTGGAATTATTTGCTTTGTTTTTAATTATAATTGATTACAGAAGAAACCAGACTAAATTTGGATCCCAAATCAAAATCTCTTACCTGTAGAATTGCTCTAGAGGGTAGTGGTCAACAGTTCAGTGTCCAGATGGAGATGGTATCCGTGTTGGGATAGGTGCTGCTCAATACCTTCATCAGTAGCACAGACAGTGGGATCAAGTGCACCCTCAGCAAGTTTGCAGACGACACCAGACTGAGTGTTGTGGTTGACGTGCCTGAGGGATGGGATGCCATCCAGGGGAACCTGGACAAGCTGGAGAAGTGGACCCATGGGAACCTCATGAGGTCAACAAGACCAAGTGCAAAGTGCTGCACCTATATCGGGGCAACCCCCAGTATCAATACAGGTTGAGACATGAACAGATTGAGAGCACCTCTGTGGGGTTGGACCTGGGGTACTGGTGGATGAAAAGTTAGACACAACCCAGCAATGTGGACTCACAGCCTAGAAAGCCAAACATATCCTGGGCTGCATCACAAGAAGCGTGGCCAGCAGGGTGAGGGAGGTGATTCTGCTGCTGTACTTCACTCCAGGTGTGAGACATCACCTGGAGTACTGCATCCAGCTCTGGTGTCCTCAGCACAGGAAGAACATGGACCTGTTAGAGTGACTCCTGAGGAAGGCCACAAAAATAATCAGAAACATAGAGCATCTCTCCTGTGAGGACAGGCTGGTTGTTCAGCCTGGAGAAGAGAAGGCTCTGGGAAGACGTTATTGCAGCCTTCCAGTACTTAAAGGGGGCCTATAAGAAAGATGAGGACAGACTTTTTAGTAGAGACTGTGTTGATAGGACAAGAGGTAATGGTTTTAAACTCTGAGTGTAGATTCAGTCTAGATATAAGAAAGAAATTTTTTACAAGTGTAGTAAAACACTGGATCAGGTTACCCAGGGTGTTCATGGATGCCCCATCCCTGGAAACATTCAAAATCAGGTTGGATGGGGCTCTGAGCAATGTGTTCTAGTTGAAGATGTTCCTGCTTGTTGCAGGGGAGCAGTTGGTCTAGGTGACCTTTAAAGGTCTCTTCCAACCCAAACTATTCTTTGATTCTTATGTTTGAAAAAGTGTACAGAATAGAAACTGAAATGCATCACACAAAGCTTGCCTAGCCTGATTATGCTTACTAGGTATAATTTTCCGCTGAGAAAATACATGTTATAACAGAGTATTTGGGTTTTATCACAGGAGCAAGTTTGTGGATGCTTTTTTTTTACACCTAGATAAGAATTTTAATAAACTGTTTCCGATAATTATTTCAATTAAGCTTTTCTATGTATTTTTTTCAGTCATTTTCTGGTGGTGGATATAGATTGGGTGACTCATCACAAAAGCACTCTGAATACATATTTGGAGAAAATCAAGATGTAAGTAAAATTCTGGATAGCAGAAAACAGAACCTCCAACAGATGCCTGTTTACAACTTTAAATGCCAGTATTACTGTAACTATGTCTATGAGCAAAAAATAATACCTAAATATTAGATGTGTTAAGTAAAAATTGTTAAAGTGTCCGAAGAGAACAGATGTTCATTGTAAATTACTTTGAAATTCTTAGCACACCTTCCTTTCAGTTACTTTCCACCAGGTGTTGTTCTGCATTCTCTTTGCTATGGTGACATTTTAATCCTCCTGGGAAATGATTCTTCTTGTGGCTCACATAGTAGCCAGTCTGAAACTGGAGGACATTGTTGTATTCTAGGAAAGGTGAAGCAGCATGTTGGAGGCCTTTTGTCATTGTGTGGCCTTTCTTTCCTATCAATTAAAAAGCAGAATGTGAGGAAGAGGGTGAGAAGAAACAAAGTTCTCTGCACTTTGACATTTTTGTGAATGGCTGGAGAAAGTGTTAAGCTCATTTAGAAACAAACCCAAGAAATAAGTAAGGCCAAGAGTTGAGTAAGGATGTGGTTCTGGCTGGGTGGTGCTATCATGTCACCAGGAACTGCTACTTTCTACTCTACTAAGTAATCCTTCTACTCTCCAAGTAATAGTCATCTGTACTCAGCCAGAAACCTGTTGCAGTGGGCTTACTGTAACTGGGAGCAGGGGTAGTTTTCTAAAGGAAGGGCAGTTTTACTGGCTAGGGAAGGGTAGTTATGCTGGTCTTCCAGGCAGTTGTGAGGAAGAGGTACAGGCTCTGAAGCTGAAAGGCTCTGGCTGGACCTTATATGTCGCAAAATAAGTAGGGAGGGAAGGAGGCTGATTTCCTGGATTCCCAGCGTTTGAACTGAAGGGAGCTAGTATCAAATTCAGTGGAGCTCAGCATGTTATAATTTGAGGAAAGAGTAGTTTTGGCAGTATCAGCAGTAATTTGTAATTTTATGGGTTTATTTCTTAATTATCAACAAAAATGTGTACTGCTTTTAAAAGTAATTGGAACACTGTGAAGATGCAGTCACTGTATCATACTTTATGTCATGGATAGGACATTAAGAGATTTTTTTCCCCATGTGTAAAAGTGGTCTCGAAGTAGATAGTAGTTATTTACTTTTTTAAAAAAAATTTAACAATGACAGTTACAGTCCAGTGCTCTGTTCTTATATTGTCATTTTCATTCTTGTTTGTGATCTGGTACAAAATGTGTTAAGTGTAGATCAAGGCTTGTATAACTAATCTGTATGAAATTGTACTGCTTTGTTTGTGTCTGTCTTCACTTCTTTTTTTATTTCACTGTTTAAACTTCATAGGTTCAAATTTTGCTGAAACTATGGAGGAATGGCTTCAGTTTAGATGATGGCGAGTTGAGATCCTATTCAGACCCAATAAATGCTCAGTTTCTTGAGTCTGTTAAAAGAGGGTAAGTTAAAATGGCAACTTGTTTGATGGATGACTTTCAAGTGAAGTGAAGAAAAATGCTTTCTCCACATGTTTATAATTATTAAAAGCTCCAGGCTTCTTCTCTGCCTGCACTCATAACATGTATGCATGGGGTATTTAAAAATTTGGAATACTTTGGTTCCTCTGGTGGTTTAAGTCTCAATAGTACTTGTTACTGCAGCTTTTAGTTTCACATATTTTGTTTGCTCATTTTGTGTTTTGACTGTCAGTGTATTTTAGGTTTTGACTGTCAGCTCACTGATTTTTTTTTTCCTTCCTTTACAATGAAATTGATTCATAAAACAATTGAGTGTAACTTTCAAACTAAACATACTATTAATATTGACTCATACTGTGTGTGTACATTTTGTATAATTTCATTTTGCAGTTCAGAATGTAATTGGGAAATCTTTTATCTTTTTAATTAAGGGAAATTCCTATGGAACTGCAGCGACTTGTTCATGGTGGCCAGGTTAATTTGGATATGGAAGATCACCAAGAACAAGAATATGTGAAGCCCAGACTGCGCTTCAAAGCTTTCAGTGGTGAAGGACAAAAACTTGGAAGGTGAAAAAAGCTAGATTTTCTATTCTGTGCTCTGTATTCATATCCTGTTTCATTCCTGTGACTGAAAATTTCAGACTATTTTGTCCAAAAGTGCATAATTTCTGTTCACCCAGGTTGGTCAGAGTAAACAGTAATGTGACCTCAGCTCTGCCAATTGTCAGCTTTTTCCCTTAACAATTATAGCCTTTGAAGCATCTTATCCAGCTGACTTGATATTAATTGTTGAACTGTACATAATTCTAGGTTTCTGGTCATCATTGCATTTATTCATATAATATATTTGATTGCCCAAAAAAGGTATTACTGATGTGCTTCTTCAAGTAATTTAATTCAATAGATGATTCTTTACTGTTTCTAATCTATTTCCATCTTTTTAAAAAGGAGGAAGTATGCTCAGTAAAACTGAGAAGGGGGTAAGCTCTTGTAGAGGTGAAATGGGGAACAATTGTATATGATAACTTCTTCGCCTGAGCACTTGCCCATATTGTTGAAGAAAATAGCTGGGCAAGAGAGGAGGTTTCACATATAAGACAATGTGCACCCAGTTGTGTGGCATTTTTGTTTGTTTGGGTAGCTGATGAAGTCTCAGGTATGTAAGCAATAAAAGGAGGAGCCAAATGGTTATCTCCAATCAGAGCTATATTTATCTGTACTAACTGTAAAAAAGTCCACATGCTCTGTGGTGGTTATCAATGTCTTGTTAATATCATTTGTGCTCCAAAAGGGTGAGGAATGCTCAGAATATGAAAGCAATTCCTAAAGCAGTTTGTGTCAGTTTAGTGCACTATAATGGTGTATGATTATTTTTTAATATAGTCCAGGAGATATGTATGATATATGAGTCTTAGTATCAGAGGCATTTGTCATTTCATGCTCCGTAAGCATAAACAAATATAGTTCTGTTTGTACTTGGTTACCTATTTAAAATCATGCAAATGCAATGATATCAGAATTATAAGGCAAATAAATATGAAATATTGCAATCATTGACAAGAAACTACAAAAGCATTATTTCTGTCTATTAGAAAAGCCATATTTATACTTGGTTCAGATAACTCTGAGAAAATTTTCATTGCTCATTTGTACTAGCTGTACATGGTAGTTATTCAGTGAAAAACACAACTGAAAAATTCAGTTCTGGTTTGACTTGATTAGTAACAACTGGTTTGTTTGGGGGGTTTTTTCCAATTTTTTAGCCTTACACCTGAAATAGTCAGCACGCCTTCTTCCCCAGAGGAGGAGGAGAAATCCATTCTTAATGCACCTGTTCTGATTGATGATTCCATGCCAGCAACTAAAATTCAAATTAGATTAGCAGATGGAAGCCGATTAATACAAAGATTTAATCAAACACACAGGTAAATTTGTTCTGCATCAATGCAGGTAACAGTAACTGTTTTGATAAGTTTGTGTTATGTCATTAAATGAGTATCAGCAAGGCATCAAAAAGGGGGAAGTAGAGCTTCACTGAAATGTATAGCTCTGTGTCATTTCATTACATGGATATACTGATAAATTGACTGTCAAAGCAAAATTCTGTATTTGAAAACACAAGATATTTGCTAACTGCAAAGTCAGAACCTTCTATAACCAATTATGTCCAGTGATTTTTTTAAGGACACAGCACAAGCCATGACTGTTCTCAGGATGACTGAAATCTGGACAGCCCTACTATGTAGTCATCCCAACCCTGAGCCTTTCTTAGGAGGAGCAGGTGGATGACTCAGAAAACACTGTGAAAACACTTTATTGCAAAGTGTTTTTGCAATAAAATATGGTGGAAATATATATTCCAAAATGTGGAATATAGTCCACACTTTGGGCAGAGAAATCCTGTGGCCCATAATCAAGAGCTCCAGCTTTCTACCTTGTTATACTTAAGAGCGTGGCTAAACATGACATGGGTTCTAAATGTGGACTGCAGCCCATTTGCAGAAGGGAGACACAACATGTTTATTTGCTATTCCAGCAGTGGACTGCACATAATACTGAGAACCAACTTTTGTTTTGTTTTGGATGGTCAACTCCTAATGTGGCAATGTGGGAATTTGGTGGGGTTTTTAGATCTGTTAGTAGCTTGCTTGCTCTGATTAGAGCTTGCCACCAATTTTATTGACATTGTTGGGGCAGTGCCACAAATGGTGTTGGCCAACCCCATTTATTTACCTAAGAGGTTGATTTAGTACAAGGTTCTGCAAAGCTCTGCTTTCTACTACGTGGCTGAGAGAACTGTGGGCAGAGATTTGGGCAGTAGTCCACCAACGCTTAAACAGAATTCAAGCCAGCCTTGATTTGAAATCTGCACCACTGTGTTAGAGCACAGGTGAAACTTGAATCCTGACTTGGAAGTGGTCTTAGCAGTTCCATGTTAATATTTTTACATGGGCAGTTCACCTGTTTCCTTCTTTTCCTTCTTGCTTAGAATAAGGACAATGTGTGGCTTCCTTCACCTGACAATATACGCAGACAACAATGAGGCAATTTTAGCTGAGATACCAATAGGGAGGAAGATACAGCAATAATTTTTGATACTTTAGCAGACCTGATAATGTAAGCTGACAGTACAGGCACAGATCCTTTCCTCACAGCACCTCTGCAGAAGTGACTCAGAGAAACCTTAGGGCTCATTGGGAGCCTCTGTAGCCATGCTGTGTGTTCTTCTGTCTGCATGAAAGGGTCAAAGTGGTAAACTTGCCAGTAACATCTGTAACCAAGGGTGTATTGAGAGGAACTTATTTTAGTCATTATTAACTTTCTTTTAGCTGCGAATCTTTTTAGTTATCCTTGACTTATGCATGATCAAAACCAGCTACTAAAGTGCATTGCTTATCTCAAAGGCCTTGAAGACTGATAGAAAGCTGAAGTCCCTGCTTATTGGCTACAATAAATCTGCCAACTTAGTAGTTACAAAAGATGTTCAAAGATTTATTCTCAACTTAATGTCATAGGGGAGAAACCTCAAATTTCAGATTTTTATCTCTAAAATACTATTTTCTTCATCCATGTCTTATAAAATTAAATTATTACTGTTATGCTGTTCATGCGATGGTTTTGTTAACTATTGTTCAGAAGGGCCAAGTGAAAGTAGGGGAAACCTCTTGCTATTGAAATGCATTAATAATGCCCCCCTGCTTTCTCTTCAGTGTGACCATATGTTTTAAGATTCCTCCTTCCATTAATAATTTCATCTTTTTGGAATACAGTAACATGATCTGACTCTTGGGTATGGTCTTGTGCAGGGCTGAGGGTTGGACTTGATGGTCCTTATGGGTCCTTTCCAACTCAGCATATTATGTGATTCTGTGAATTAATAATGAAATTTTTGATAGTGATGGTGAAATTACTTGACTTTCTGTGTTAGGTATCAGTTTGTAATATACTCCATGTTGCAAATTTTGTTTCTGTTATATGAGAAAACAAGCAACATTCATTTTAATTTTTCAGGATGTTTTTTACAAAAATCAGAAAATTTTTGTAGGCTACAGTCATTAGTCATCTGGATCAAATTGAAATGTGAAATCTAGGACTTAATGGTTTAGTCTGTTTGACGGTTTTGTGTTGTCTGATCATCTTAATGTACAGATATATATCAAAATGAAATCATACACAGTTTTCATGTCCATATCCTTTTCACAGGATTAAGCACATTCGAGATTTCATTATCCAGTCCCGTCCAGCCTTTGCAACAACTGATTTTGTTCTTGTGACTACCTTTCCAAATAAAGAGCTAACAGATGAAAGCCTGACACTACAAGAAGCAGATATACTTAACACTGTGATTCTTCAGCAATTAAAGTAATCTTATGGTTGTTGTACAATATAGAGACCCTGCTGTATTGTCATACAATATGTTTCCAACAGATGAAAGAAAGGAAATATCAGTGTCTTTTTATTTCCTCATTTCCAGGGATCAGATTTTTGGATTTCATGTCTTCCAGCTGTAACATATCTACCTTTTTTATTTTAATTCTCAACATTATTCAGCTTTTTTTCAGTGTTAAAATTAAACTTTCATTTGTTAGTATGTTTCAAACCACATCTTGTACTAAATGTGAAATGAGATAGGACTTCGAATCATTATTTTGAGAGGGGTGGGGAAAGGAGCATTTTGCTGAATGGGACAGTATCTTTCATAGAATTGGTAAGATTTGCACTATGGAAATGTTCTATGCTGCATTGACAAACAGCCATTTGAAAACTTAGACTGTAGGTTATGTTTACCTTCCAAATTGTATTAAGGTGTTCTTTTTAATAGGTTTACAGATAATTAATGCCCTAATGTAATTTTTGTATATTCTATTTGTAGTGTTTCATGGTGCAGTATAATATTTATATTCTAGTTTTTCTGTCCTTTTCCTTCCATCGTTACTCGTATGAGTGAATCAGTCCAGGAGATGCAAACCTGAACTATTGCAGACTATAGCAGGTTGTTCTTACTGGTATTCTCATTGTTCTACTTGTGATGAAAACAAATAAGAATTTCTTTCTTCTTGAAGTTAGAGAAATGTGAGAGACCACTGTGATCTGGGGAAATGATGTGATTTGGAGAAGGCTTGTGGTCACTTTGAATCTGTGTATTCGGTTGAAACCTGTGCAGCTACGTGATTCTTTGCACAGTTACTTAAATAACCCCAAACAAAAATACACCAAGGTGCACAAACACAGAACTTATCTGCTTTTGTGCGTGCCAGTGACAGCATAAACATGTTAATTGGTCATGTATTTTTGACCTGAATTTCAGGTCTTAATATTGGGAATTTTGACCAAAGGCATTTTGTATTATTCAATGAGGATTTGGTTGTACAGCTTTCAGTATTCTTGTTTGGAAGCTGTATAATTAAAGCCCTTAATCTTTCAAATTATATATTTTTTCAAATAACTTGCCTCAATACTGCAGTAAACAGGTAGGAGTTTTGTGTTGGGGGACAACTGTCTGCTGTGCTTTAGTAGTATACAGTTTTATAGTATTTGGAGATTTGTATCAGACAAGTGGATCACACTTAAATGAAAGCTAAATGGGCTGTTTCTCTTGTACTGATATATGTTTTAAAAATTGCTGTTTTCACTGATTATTTTGTTCTGAAAATATCAATATTTGTTTATTTATGCTAAGGTTATAATTTCTCAGTATATCACATTTTTACCTCAAAGTAGATATTTGACTGAGTAAATTTTAAACATGCAATTGTATTTGAAGTATTTTGTTTTGCAGTCTGAATATCTGCATGATTTTAATCATAATTCATTTCATGTGCTAAGTAAATAAAGTTTTATGTTTAAGACCACGGGCAAGATTTCTTGTTTTATTTCAAATTTATGTTGTGATGAAGTGGTGATTGTGTTGTGTGTCAAGTATTTAAGCCTAGACAGAAAGGAATGGACACATGCTACACATATATTTTATAAAGTAACAATTCTCTATATAAATGCAAGGCCAAAGTCAGTATTGTGATATTGATCTTGGACAATCTGTGGTTTAGGCATATTTCAATTCAGAATATACTTAAAGTTACATTGCTTATTATTTCTGAAGACCATTATTAATTAAACACTGATGTACGAAGAACAGTGGTTAACTAAATTGTAAATATTTCAGCGCTTCTCAGCACTTTAAGACCTATGGAATGTTCCTTCTCATAATTTTATGTCATACCTTTTATTATCATAAGTTCTCGCTCATGTAGCTAATATCTTGGCATTTTTGGCACAAAACTGTTCTTTGAGTACAGACTTGTGTGGATACACAGTTAAGACTGGCTACAAGGGAGAAGGAACTCAGTAGAGGATGATGATCTTTCCCTGGCAGTAAAGCTGCTGAACTTGGGAGTTTTTCTTAGCTTCCATGAAATACAGGTAATAATCCTATTGCTTGCTCTTGTAGGCAGCTTATGAAAGACTCAGGCTTCACTTCTGCGTGTCTTCCCTAGAAATCCTTTCTCACACAAGAGTCAAACAAAACCTGAATATTTTCTTTTTAAAAAAAATCTCAGTAATCATTTATTCTGGATAAATGCAATGTTAGTTTTGTTGTTGGGTTTTTTTTCAGCAGCACATCGAGAAGTTTGTAAATGTCCTGCTTTAATTAAACTACTGGGCATACTTGTATAATTAGCATTTATTAAGAGTTATCTCATGCTGTTCTTGCTCTTTGGTGAAAATCTGTGCAATATTAAATGAAGCGAGGAAGAGCACATAAGTACTCCAAGGTGCTGTTTGCCAGCTCCCTGCTTAGTTGCTTGCACTAGGTTAGTGCTCACTTGGTCTTTAAATTGTGTTATTCTGTGCAGGGAGAACAGACAGACATGCACCTTCCCCTTGCTCGTGCTGATTAAACCTGACAGGCCTCAGTGGAGGCAGGTGCTGTTCTGTGTGCAGGTGAGACAGGGAGCAGAGAGAGTCTGGGATAAATACTGAATTAATGACACGCCAAAAGCAGTAAGCTTGTGGTGTTTCTATAGGATGGATATAGCTGGAATGGGTTCCCGAAGAGATTAAAAGTAGGACTGGTACTACTTAACTGCTTAACAATTGTTTAAAAATAAATTTTGGAAACCCAAGTATTAGTGCAATGGTAAACAACAGTAGGCTGCAAATATGAACATTTAGTAGACTGTAGCAATCGGATCACTTGCATCCTTGATACAACCAAGCATCAATTTACGAATCTGAAACCAACTGTGAAAGACACTAATAGCCTGGAAAGCACTGGCCCTGGAATGGAGTTGGATGACAGCAGAAAAACAGTGCAGCAGAACTGTTTACACCCCTTTTGAGGTTTACAGGTTTGACTTTGTGACTGGAAGATGATTTTAATCCCTGTGTTTGTTATTGGTGAGTTTGATACTGTTTATGGTGCTGGTCCCGCTTTAGACATAGGACCAAAAAAGTAATGTGAATGATAAATGCCTTATCTTAAAAGAGCTCAAAACAGGTAACTTGCCAGGAATAAAACAGAGAATTGAGGTGATTGAAAGTGGGCAGTTACTTCACGGGGGAAAACATGTTAGAAGACTATTTGGTAGAGAAAATCATAACATGAATTGCATAACACAGCTTGTACAAAGCTGCAAACTCAGGTATTTTTAAAGTGAAATCCAAACACATTTTTCAGTAGTTGAAATACTACTGGAATGAACCAACTTCAAAAATCAACTTCTCTGTGTTCTTTTTCTTTTTTTTTTTAATTCTCACTGTTATGCTGGCTTTCTGTAAGATTTGTTTTAATTAAACCAAATTTATTTGGGTTTGCTAGTAAGACAAAGTAAAATAAGATGTCCTAATTCTTGAAAAGCAGTTTACTTTGCCTTTGTCTAGTCATACTTAGAATTAAAATAAATGTATGTTTCATATGTAGAGGGCTGAGGTGTTACATACATCACCACACATCTTCAATATTTTCATTACTGATCTTCCAAAAAAAAGTCTGCTGAACATCAAAGAACTCAGATTACAAACCAGAATTCATCTTCTTCACTTTTTACTTGCAACTCTTCTCCTTTAGAACTGGTCTTGTTCTGCCCATAATTGAAAAGCTCTCTGGCAGCACATCTGAATGTTAAAGGAAAGAAACTACTTTAAAATAGTTTTTAATCTAAAATGGAGAAATGAGGAGAGTATCTTAGTTCTTTTTTGTTCGCTGGGAGCTGTCTGCTCTCGAGTTAAATATGTGGTCTATAGGCTGCCTGTTTTAGCTCTTTCAGAGGTATGAGAAGGTAGATGTGTTGGTATTCCACATTGCATTAAGATAAACCGGAAGAGACATTCTTATCTGTGGAATTAAAAAAAAAAATCCTTTAAGGAATCATTCTGGAAGGCCTACTATTTTACATTTATAAATCTACATCAGTCCAAATTACTTTGGTGAGATCTTAGACCATTTAAGTACTAATGAGCAAGAACTCCCAAATGGCAATAACCACGAGTCATTTTCCCTATATGATGTTTGTAGCTGGTCTGAATAGAATGAATGACTTATGCAGGGCTGTGAAGTTGGTATTTATTTCGTAGAATTCTTAGTGTCTTACTGGGTGCTGATATAAAAATTGTGATTGCCTGTTCTAGCAAAAAACAAACAAGAATTCATAGTGTTTATTAGTTCTAACCTTAACACTACCAAATAATTGCACTTTGAGGACAAAATAAATTTTCTGAATTCCAAATTAAATTTTAATTAACTTTTTCATGGCAATAGCTGTCTATGGTGTTTTGAACCATTGGAAGACTCAGAATTTGTGCCTGCATTGTGCAAACCCCAGACAGATGTTCCATTCCAGTGAACAGAATTCATTTCTGTTTATCTTGCAACTGTTCCTAATCAAGTTATATTAAATCATCATTAATCAGATGTTCACAATGTAAATGTCCCTACAGTCATCTGTGATGCTTTAGTTAATCCATTTTAAATTAGATTTCACAAATAAAAACTCAGCCTGAATGTGAAAATATAAGTGCTAGTTTTTCGGAAAGCTTGCAATTAATAGAGAAAAACATAGATAAGGTATTTATTTCTACTTGCATTTGAATTCTTCAATTAGCAAGCTGATTCTTGTTATAAAAAATTGAGACATTTTCAATAGAGAAGACTTTGGCTCCAAATGCAAAATAGTGCTACCACTTTTTGTCCATAAATGAGTACCTCAATACATGTGAATACTAGTTTCCACTTTTTATCACTTTTTTAATGTTGGTTCTCTAGTTTTTGATAGTGTTTTCACATGTATGCTCTCAGCTCTTTTACCTATAAAATTATATTCCTGCATATTTTTATCAAAGCAGTGCTACTTCACATAGCAGTCCCCAAATCTTGTAGTCTAGAAGGAAACACAGAAAGCAGAGGACAGAGCATAAGTGGATATATGTAAGTGGTTATGTTAAAATGTTTTTCACTGAATTATTTGCTCCTGCTCTTATAGTCTAATAATTTGCTTCATTTTCTAAGGAGTATTCCTGAACACTGTGTTTCCTGGAAACAGACACAGACCTTAGACCCAGTTGGAACTGCGTGGTAACCTCGGTCACCACACAAAAAATTGTAAGCCAGGATTTGGTCTCTGTGAAAGGAGAGAATGTTTCAGCTGGAGAAATCAGACAATTAGACCTTAAAAGGATCTGCTTAGGATTCAAGTTCATTTTTTCCACTCTGTCCTAAATCCCAACACTGGAAAAGTTTGGATGCACTACTGCAGTTTTATTTTTGACACATCCCCCCACCTCCACCAAAGAACTCAATAATATATGTGGTTTACTTGGCTAGTACTTTTTGTATTCCTGTTGTTGCAGAGCCCAGCCTTTGGAATACAGTTGTCTCTGGGTTTTTTGGGTTTATAGTAATGTGTCATGACTCGAACTAAGAAAGCAAGCTTAGATGGTGAGAATACGGTCATGGTGTCAGCAAATAAATAAATGTGAGAAAACTAGGACCTTGGAAGGATTTTGGAAGAACTTTGATTCTCCATGTTTCTTCTCTAACCTGCACTGACCTCTTCCACACAGAGACCTTCATCTTTTATTTACTCATCTGAACATTATTTTATGTTTGTATAGAAAGTCTCTTTAAGTTCTGTCTTCCTAAGCAACTCTCTGGAGTCTACTTGGCTTGCCTGTAGGCACACATGAGAATAATTAAATGTAGGTTTGATGCTCAAATCCTAAGTTTTTTTGTGGCTGATTTCATGTCTCTCATTGTGTTTACAGTTCCTAAAAATAGTGGCTGCCTGGTTCTAGTTGCAATCTTTAGGTCCTACTGCAGTAAAACTTTGAAACAATAAAAAATTAGGTTCGTGACTGCATTAGTGGCTTCTTCAATTCCAGCTCCCAGTGCCTGGGCAAGTGCTGGGGCTGATATTGCAGTATCAGAACATGTCAACCTGGCAAGGTCTGTTTGCCTTAGTTGTCTGGGTGTTATTACCCAATCAACTGCGCAAGCAGAGAAGGTAGAGATGACCTGGAGTTAGCAATTTCCAAATGGCCTTTACTCGTAGTCAAGGCCAGCAACAAACATGCATTTAGTTTTATGAATTTTCTTAGAATAGTAGCATATCCAAGCTCAGATAGTGCTGCTGTCTTCATACAAGCACAGTAACTAAGTATTTATTAAATGCTGTTGCAATAGTGAGATATCATTATTACAAAGAATGTTACATTTTGCTAACAGACTTGCCACCAAGATGATTAGAGTGATGGAGCACCTCTCCTATGAAGAAAGGCTAAGAGAATGTGAATTGTTCAGCCTGGAGAAGAGAAGGCTTTGGGGTGACCTCATTGCAGCCTTCTAGTACCTGAAAGGA